GTTATAATTGTAGTGAACCCTATGGAAGTGCTTGGTAAATGTTAAAATACTCAGTGATTAAGTGCTGCTAAACTCTTTGCACCCTTATCTTTGCATCCATATGTTGGCACACTTACCCCCTTTGCATTCCTGACTTTAGTATAAATCATTCCAAATTGTTTCTAATTTAATCTTCCTTTGTATGTTTAATCTGTGTAGTAAGTGAGCCTTGCCAGCAAACTCAGTAAAGTCATGTTTCCACAAATTCACATTAAACCCGGCTTTTGCCAAAACCTTTGATAGTGCTTCTTTAAGGTGGCCAAACCAATTGTTCACAATACCTATTTAGCTATATGCTGAAGTCACTCCATTTATTAATGGTTTCCCTCTGCCATGTATTGGCAATTTTTAGAGGGAAGGCATAACAAACTCCATCCAAACAAGAGCAAAATGTGCAGGGCCAGAAGCTGGACTTTCATGAACCCTGTGGGTGCCTTGCAACTCAGTATGTTCTATGATTCTGTGAGATGATCCCCCTTGATCCCTTCCAACCTGAACCATTCTGTGATTCTGTGACTACCTCTGCAGTAGCAATGATAAAAAGCTCCTAGATACACAGGCCTTGCAGGGTATTAGAACATCTATGCAAGCTGCAGCAACTTAATAGCAATTGAACATGTACCCTGGTGATACAGTTAGGAATACAAGAAGCTATCAAGTGTCAATGTGGGGAAGGCAAAGATTGCCACTTAAACATTAGGCCTATTGGAAGGACAGAAGATGACAAGCACTGCTGAATTTTTCAAATTCAGCTTAATCAAATAATAGTACAGCCCATGATATTTTCATGCTCTGAATATAATTTTAAATTTAGCATTATATAATCAAGCTATCAGTAACGACTGCCAGTATGTCATAACTTCATATTAATCTAGCTTAAGGTATCTTTATTTATTTTAGTATAACTTAAGGCCAATTTTGCAAATGTTTGCTGTGGTCAAAGAAAATGTTTAAATGTTCAATTTAGTATTAGATGCCAATAAAGCTACTCAGAATCTTAATAGTAAGCACATGATGAACTGAAGTCATACTCATAAGAAGAATTATTCACAACAAGTAGGTCCACTCCATTCCATTAGATTGTTCATAGAAATACACTTTTTAAAAATTACAGAGTAGAAGAATCAAGTCTAAAAATATTTAGGTTACTTCTGGCCTGTGCTCTTCTTTTATAAATTTTATATATTGCTACAGTATATAACACAGTGTTGAGATACAGAAAGAGATTGCAAAGACTTAAATATTCACTGAGAAGTTGTCCTACAGCATGAGGAAACCACATATGAAATAATCTCTTCGGTAGACTATACCCATCTGGAAATAAAAATCAGTGTATACTGAAAATATTAAACATTTCTGAATTAAGGAAGCTGAAAGACAATTAAATATGGCCAAGGGCCTGTATAGGCTTTATGTAACTTTGTACAGTAAATAGAATAGTGGCTTGTAATTTGAGGGAGACAGTCCAGTGGGCCTCTTTTCTGTAAGAGCTTTCAATATCTATATTGAAAGAGAGAAGAAACACTGAATAAAGAGTATTAACCCAAGAGAAAAAGAATAAATGCAGCTGAAAAAATATGAGCCTCATTCAGCATATAATCTGTATTTGGTCAATTTTTGTATCTAATAGCTAGTCATAACCTTAGATATTGTAAAAATGTTCACTTAAAAGGCACCTTTGAAATCACCAGCAATAGAAACTACACTTTTCTGGACAATATTCCTGAACTTCAACATAGGTATGACCTCACATCTTGAGAAAATATTAGATTTTTTTCAGAAAAATACCTCTTTCTACTTTGATCTTGTCAAGGATTGTATTTTTGTCTGCTAAATCAGATTTGATAGCCATCTCTAGTTTAGCAATTTGCAGTTTCATTTGCTGTTCCTTTGATTTCCATTGCTGTTCATGGGTCATACAGAAGACACTGTAATAAAACATATGGCATGTGAAAAACTTTTAGAAATCAGCTTCAACAGAAAATAATAAAGAAAAAAGCTTTTAGTGGCACAGAGACCACTGTCATCATGTCTTAGGAATTAAGTAAACACATGCTGGTCTGCTGCTGTTGAAACCAAGGCGCCTTTCTCAGGCTGCGGTTAAAAAACATGAAAGAGTTTGTGGGATGAGCAAAGGAACTGGCCTTAATTTAGAGATCCAAAGTCAAAAAGTTGGCAGCATGCAACATTTGTGGGACTTGAAAAGGAATTCAGATGCATATCCCAGAATAATCCACAACTCCAAACCTCAACGACTGACAACTAACAAAACCATTCTTTCCGCATACAAAACCTCTTAATGTAGAGAACTGGGATCATCCACCTGATTTTTTTTAAATCTGTGAAACATGCAGAGCATAAAGTCAGTTGCCTGTTCAAAGAAAAATGTTGACCACAAAGTGACAACAGTTTTCTCATACTGTAAAACAACAATTCTGATACTGATTAAGAAGCACATTTAAAGTAATCATTCTCCTACTTTAAAGAAAAAAAAACAGAGGTAGCCCAAGAAAATAGAATAACTTCTTTGCCTGTAACACATTATTTACTTGTAAACTACCAATCTATGTGCAATAAGGATTGCATAGACACAGAATTAGAACTGCTGAAACCACAACAAAAAGTGTTACTCAGATTAAAACTAAGTACATTATATAATTTCCAGTGTAATTCTCAGTAAGCAAAAAGACAGAGCTTAGTTTTCATATAAATTAGACAGTGAGTGTTACATTTATATTACTATATTTGCATTCCTATTTACTGAAAAAATGTCAATCTTCACCAGGCACAAAACAGTTTATTCACTTTTGTACTCTATAAAAAATCAGTAATTGTAGAGTTTTGTAAACAAAACAAAGTCAGTCCCTCAAGTCTTCAGCCAAAAAACTTTGTATTTTACATACATCAATGTATTAGAAATCTCCTACTATCTATTTCTTTATCCACCTATTGCTTCAAGAGATCTGTGTAACAAGTCTTGATCACAAAAAAAGAGGAGGAAGAGATGCTGCAGAAGGGAGGGCCCACATAGGTTCAAACTCTACATGCTGACTGAGTTCTGAGTATCTATGAGTGCATTTATATCTCAAATATTTGAAGAATGACTTTAAGATTAAAGAAATAAAATTTACAGCATGAACTGTAAACTCTAAAGTATATAGGGTTTATGTTCCTGATATGTATTATTCATTAGAAAGTTGTATATCTCTGTATTTTGTCTTTTTCTCATACAATAGCTAACCTATGTACACAGTTCTCTAGGCACAGAGCATTTTAAAGTGTGACTGTTTTCACAGCATGCATGAACTAAAGCAGAGCTTCTAAGTCCTGCAGTAATACATGCATCACTCTCCTATAATTTTGAAGGTAATATGCAAGCAATATAATGCAGTGAATCCACCACGACTCCACAGTATTGCAAAGATACAGAAGACATAGTGTGTTCTTTAATTGCTTAGAGTTTGATTGACTTCCATAAGGAAAACATAAGTCCCTTCAAAAGAAAAGAAATACTGTCAGTTTCCACACTTCTGAAAATGTTTTCAAGTTTGAATGACCACAACATCCAGTTATATGTCAGTTCATCAGCTTTAGGTACAATTACTTCACATAAGAATGCAGCCAGGTATAAGTCTTGTGTTTTTCTGTGCTGGCAGAAAAATCATTAAACATTATTATTAAGGTTGTTAAGAATTTAGATGTTTAAATGAAAAACATTTTAGAAGACAGGTTTTATCCGAACCCATATAATGCTAATGTTTATGTCAGTTTGAATTGAGTCCACGTGTTTTGCTTTCTTCTTTCAAATTTTAAGATTACATTTACTCAAATTCATGTGGAATTTCTTTCATATTTACTGTATTCCACTGGAGTTGAAGCCATCTGTGTAACTATAATGGTCAACCACATCTGGCACCATTTCCTTTGGAGGGACTTTAAGCATGGCTAGATTTGCATTACAAGGTCATATGAAAACAATTCCTCCAAACCTTTCATATAAATGAATTGTTTTCTTGGATACTGACTAAATAATAAGAGTCAACTGACAAATTCATACTTGTTCTTTGCAAACTTTTCAGATCCAGTTCTGCAGTCTTGGTTTTGGCAAAATTCCTATTAATGTCAAATAAATTTTCCCAAAAATAAATTTAGCAAAGAATGGGTTTATGAACCTTTGACTCCATTTAAAAATTGAAAAAAAAAAATGATTAATTAAGTAGCATCTGTGGACATTGTCCTATCTACTACTAGCCCAGGTAAGCTCTAGTAAAGTTGCATTGTTCAAATAGGCAACCAAAAAAGCTGTTCATTAAATGGTGACTATATAATCCTTCTCTATCTAATTTATTGATACCTATAACATGGAATGATGAAAAACAAATCAATGTTTAAATGAGAGTATATGAAAAGACAGATCATTTTAGGGAAAGAAACACCATAGTATAGATTACTGTGCTATAATGGAAGCTTATTTTCAATTCCTCTTGTTAAATATCTTTTTAAGTCATCCTATTATGCTTTTAAGTAGAACAGAAAATTTCAAGACAAGATTGTTGAGTTATTAGTAAGAATTATTTCTCTGAATAAATGAATGAGAATAAACAAAAACATCATCAGAAATATTTATGACATGATCAAATTTTGGAGAAATCTCCAGCTATTAACTTAAGTGAGAGACAAGTGACCAACTCCTCCACACAAAACTCTAAATTTTGTGATTATACAACTGTTGCACCTCCTAAGTAAAAATAGTTTTAATCTGTTAAGTTTTTTAACAGAGCGATGAAATACAGCAGAGCACCTAAGAGTTTCCATATACAGTCATATAATGAACAGCAGCCCAGAGTTACATGTGTGCAAAAGCACAAACTATATATACACACATTACAGCACACAGTATATTAAGTTCTATTAAAAAAGGACCAGAATACAATTTTCTGTATGCAGAATCCCTAACTTACCTTATGCAGCTTATCATAGTTTTTGTTCAAGAGTTCATTCTCTTTTTCTGGATTGTTTATTCTTTCCTGTAATTAAAATGAAGAGACAAATTTCAAGTAATTCATAGCACAGAATGAAATTACAATGAATATATTAACAGAAATAACAAATAATTTTTAGGCAGTGTCAGGCTATTATTTATTCTTGTAATACAACTGTCTCTTAGAAGCTGTATAAGATAAATCCACATGGATTTACATTAGGCCCAAAGTCTTTTCCATGCTGTTTAGATGAAGCTGAGAGTAGCATGTTGCAGTTGATCAACAGTATCTAATCACATTCCATCTTATGCAAAACAATATAAAAACCTGGAGTGCTATATTTTTTAATTCCCTTTTAGTAAGTGAATATCAGTATTAGCTAGAGCATGGCTTTTGCATAGAAAATATTTTTAGTGACATTATAGAAACAACACACCCTTGCTTCCAAAACACTCACTACAGCAAGATCTGGTTTAAAGACATGACATACTGAAATTGTGAATATCTGCTCTCCGTGCATTACAACACTTAAAATATTTGGTGAAAATAGCTATGAGGTAAACTTTGTTCACGTAAAATGCATTTATTTACAATAGGTAAAGCAGGTGGTAAAACTAAATAAAAGTTGCTACAAAATGCAAGAAAATTATAGTAAGTTTTCACGTTTTTATTCCTTACACATTGAAGAAAATGGGGAAGAAGCCATTCCCCATCTGACATTTAGCCCTGTATCTGGACAACTTGTTAGTGGTGACAGAAGTCTGTCAGTCACTAGACAAAGAAATAGAAGTGATTGATTTGAATGGCTGTGTAAGATGCAACACTGTACTCTAATTAAATCAGGTTCAAAGAATACTAAAAACTAGCAATACATGATCAATAAACCAAGTATTATGTTTTTTTTCTATTAATAAACCACTTCTTTAGACCCAGAATTGATATGATGTCTTATGCTTTAACTTCAAATATTGTCCAAGCACTGGTACTCTGGATTGGGTATGGTTCACAGTTGTGTGAAATACAAACAGCATTTAGGTCAGAAGTCTTTCTTTTGAATAGGATAAAAATATATCTAGTAGCAGGTCAGTCTTCTAAATAGTTTTGAAAGGTCTACTTGCATCTCCTCCACTGAAACATATCCCAGCATTTCTTTTTTCCTTATCTGTATGCACTACCTAAAGTAAAAGATTCTAGTTCTTTCCCACAACCTCACCTCCTCTGTCCCTCTGTTTGAAACAGTTACTGATTGCAATTTGTCTTGAAGATGGAACTATTTTAACTGCTCCTCTTTAACTTGTTCATTTGGTTCACAACCTTTTGGCAAGCATCATGGTTGGTCTTTAAGTACTTTAGGCTCTATGAAAAGGAAGGAATATCCCGAAAAAAAATCAAAATAAATCATACCTAGAAGAATGCTACAATACAGAATATTCCAACTGTGGTCTGACTCCCTGGCAGTATTTAATGTATAGATTCTCAGTGTGGTCAACAGGAGACACTCTTGATCCAAGTAACTGAGCACATGCATGGCTGGGGGAAGGTGGCACTCCTGGTGCTCTCATGAGCATTAAACCCTCAGTTCAGTCATGATGAAAACAACCAAGAAATACATCTGTTCAGCAATTAAAAGATTTCGCTGTGGTTATGGTGGTTAGACATGCTGACCAAAAAACACCACAGCAGCAAGCAAAACTGAATGTCGACCACAGTTATGGTAATCACAGAGCTTGCCACAGCTCTGTTAACCCTTAATTGTAGATATATAATAGTTCCATAATCATAATACACTCAGTTCTGTTTTCCTACTACCAGTACTTTTAAAAGGGACTTCTGATTTCTTTTACACTTTCATTTATTTCAATGGATGACATTAAAGCACATTTAGCCAATTTTAATATTAAATGAAGAATGTTGACAGAACCTCTATTTTCATTAGTTAATACTATAGTGGCTACATTCCACAAATGCTTTAATAAAGCTTCATTAACTAAGAATTTCAATGTAAATAATATTCAATGTATGACCTGAAACAACAGAGTCCAAAAGCCAATCTTCTGTTTAATAAAATGAGTGTATGAAAATTTATGCTAAATACATATGTGTATATAGATAGTGCTTAATGATTGCAGACAGAATAAAGTTAGCTTCAGTTTTTTCAATATACTATTTCCTACAAAGTAGTTGTAATAAGTATGTTATGTGCCATCTAAACTAGAAATTTTGGATTTTACAGTTATTTACATTTAGTTGATAGGTCTCAAACATTCTAATTATTTGAAATGGGAAAATCATTGGATCCATTCTCTTACAACAAAAAAGAGAAAACACTCATCCTTCTCTGAAATGCACCTTTCACTGTAAATATTAGAAATAATGTCTACAAATACTATGAGTCCTAAGCCCATGTTTCCATTCAGCTGCTGCCAAGAAAGAGGCAAAAGCACTCAATGTTTGTTGTAATGTATCAGAAAGTTCCATATGATTTAAAATGGAACAGTTTACTTATTGCTTTCTATTTAAGAACGCAAAAAGCCATGTGAAACCTGTCTCCCCTGGAATTTACATAGCTCACCCTATGAAAAACTAGATTTTAGCTGCTAACAGAAGAGCTGCTTTGGCAGAAAGTATATAGGTATGACACCAAAGAGAGGAAGAAAGCAAAGCACAGAAAAAGGTAGAAATGAAACAACATGGGGCAAAAAGGAACAAAAATCTAATGGTACAAGTGTGACGTAGAATACTCAAGGATAAGGGCAGTAAGAGGATACAGGGATACCTGGTGCTTCCAGCCCATGAGGCCAGGATACTTCACAGAGCTCTACTGCAGTTAGGACTCCCCTACTTACAGGAACTCTCCCATTTCCAAGCTGCCAATCATACCACCTTCATATGCACATGCTCCTCTCCAAACACATATAGGAAAAAGCAGGCAAGAGCTGTATAACTAAAACCTACCAACAATCTACCATGCAATTGCATATTCTGGTGATATTTTCATAAAATGGTTATTTTTATACAGAAATTATTACTTACAGTAGCCCTTTAAAATAATTTCCATGAACGTAAGAACACAAGTTAAAACTGAATCACTGAGAATAAAACAGCCAAGCCTCCCTAATTTTATCAAAGACTGATAAAGTGAGGGGCGTCTGGTACCCTTTTCTTGTAAGTCAAAGCTCTCCCTTTAAATCATCAGGAGTCTCTTTCAGTAGCCAGACAACTCAGTTCATTCTTCACAATCTGCCTTAGATGATTTTGTAGATAAAAGCACTAAGATTTCCTAGCCTCTTCTGAAAAAGAGCCCAAAATTTAAGACTAAAAATCCTTCTGCCATTTGGAACAGCTCGAGAAAAGTGCAATATGTGGTTCATTTTCATGTACTTAATGTTGATTCGAAATGTGTATATATTTTTTCCATTTATACTAGCTTATGTGATGAAAGTAGAGAAATGTACTGACCAAATTCCACGTATCTCTTGAAACTGGAGAAATTTTCATTCCATTGCTGTAAGAGAACTGCGTTTCTCACCCAGTTTTACAGACCTTGATAATTTTCACATTGTCCCAAATGTTTAGTCTTCAAATTTAAAAAGAAATAAATCATGAGCTTAAAAATACAAAATTAATTATCATATTAGTTTTGTTTTGAAAAGTTGAACTTGTTTTGCAAATCAGCTTTCTACAATAGCTTTTTCAATTCCAAAAACGTGGGAGATTTAATGTGCAATGCTGAAATGAATTTCTTCTTCTAGAATTGATATTACAGAACGTAGGTGAATAAACATGAAGATACAGCAGCTTTAAACAATACATCAACATCTTTGTTATTGTATAAAACAGGACATGCCAGAAAAAACTTCCATCCTATACTTAAAGAGATTATTAGTTCTCCATTCACTTTTCTATCTGAAGTGTTTGGTGCCAGCAGAATACCATTTTTTTGAATTCTTCTTATCGTTTAAGCATAACAAATTCTGCTAATAAAAGGATCTTAGCAACTTGTGACACCTGAAGGCTTATACCCAAACATGCTGCAGGTGTGTCAACTACATGAAAATAATTTAATATTTACGTAGACATTCTTACAATTCCAAGATTACAATTACAAATTTAAGGATGATTTGTATTAACATAGATTATTATAAATCCAAATAAATTCTTAACATTTGAAAAGGTATTTTCTCTTCCAATATTTATCAGTTTTAGATGCATTGGACATACTATCACAATGCCACGCTGGAGCAAGAGAAAGGACTACAAAGATTACACATCTGTAAACCAGCTGACTACATGAAATATTTTCCTTTTATTCTTTAAAAGATGAAATGCTATTGTGTTTTGATATTACCCAGTTAATTGTCTTTACACAAAAGACAAACACAATCACAAATCTGAGATCTTCCCCAAGAAACAGGCCTAACTCAATGCTAAAACTATCATGTGTCTAAAACATGTTATCTACATAAATTAAAGTTGTGGTGAGTATAGACAGCAGCACTGTCTCATGCTAGCTATTTAAAAGCTAATGTAGTGGCACGTTTTTATTAATCTTGTTCCACACATCAAACAAAAGGGTCTGATGCCTTCAAAGGCCCCTTTTTTTTCCTTTCTTTTTTTAAGCAGGGGGCTTTTTTTTTTCTTTTTAAGTAAAAAAAGGAGCAGATGATAGTGAAATTTATGATGTACAGATGTAAACTCCATAGCTTCTGACAGTCAACATTAACTATTTTTTCAACAGTGAATGAAACGGCATTGGATTCAAACAGGTTTTAGATAATATGGAGCAAATAATTCAAATTCAGAAGTGAAAAATTACTTTTTCAATTCTTGTAAGAGCTAGAGAAAGCATGTACAATTAATTACTTATTAGTGCATTACAATGATCACAATTTCTTTATTTATTTAAATAAAATATGCTTAAGAAATGTCCATGGCATCCAGGAATATGAAAAAGCACTTGCTGTTGAACACTGAGATCTTTTCAGATTTCCTGGGTAAGGCACAGTTAATTGAGGAAGACTGTTGGGAAGGATTGTTTTTCTAGAAATTAGGTCACAAACCAGTAGAATAGAAAATGATGATTTACAGAGGCTTCTCCCTCTCAAGTAGGTATACTCTGCTCCCTGAACATCTGCCCAGGTATTCAGATATTACTTAAAAATAGGGGTTATACACAGATTTAATATAAATTAACTACTATTTTCCACCAAAACAAATACATCCCTTAAAGTAATGTGTGAATAGAAGTCAGAAAAAGAAAAGGAATTAATATCCCTTTGGAGGTAATAATATTAATTAATGGGCAAACCGATCTAGCTCTATGCCTTGTACCACAACTGCAGAAATAAGGAACATGAACTCTATCCTTCCTTTAAACCTCATCTTTGCGCTGGCTTTAAAAGTCTGAAATGGAAAATGAAGTAAGGAGAAAGTGACTCTTAAAAAAGCTACGGATTATCTTTGGGGTTAATGTCTGAACTACACCAAAGAGACAATCTCTCTTCCAGACCTCTTATCATTTGGATTAAAAGCATATAGAATGGAGTCCCACTAACAGGCTGGGGAACAGCTGTGTGGGAATGGGGCACTGATAGCAACTTACACCAGAAGGAAATGATTAAAGAAAGGATCTTGACCTCCACTGTACAAATTTATGCCAGTAAATCCCAGATGGCTAAACTAATAAAATTGAGGTCTAATTAAACCACATCCCTTGCATCTTGTCTTTGCTTCCATATGAACAGGACATGGATACAATACTGAGACTACTCTTAAGGAGTCCTGACTATTGTATTTACTGGATTACTGGCTCAAAAACTTTACCTATTCATATTCCCAACTGAAAACCAAGCAAGTAAAATAAATATCACCACTAAACCTCTCAGGGTCACTTGCCCTCTGTCTAGCAAAATAAACAAAAGATTTTTCAGCTAATTGTTCACAACCACAAATACACTAATGTCCAAGACACAGTCCCAAGCAGAGAATATCAATGTGCAGTACTATCTAACAGACCTATGTACATCTAATTAAGTAACACAGCTAATAGGTTTAAATCCAGAGTAACAATGCAGAAAAAAATGCCAAAGGAATTAAAAACGGATGAGCAAATAAGCTTCTTTCATTAAAAAATCAGCTAAACAAAACACAAAAGAAAAGCACAAACATGCAAACACCTGTTTCACAAATGCAGTCTGGGATGGCTTTAAAGATATTTTTGGAAAGTACTGTGAGTTATTAAGTAATTTGAAGATACTTACCTGCAAAATGATTTTATTTAGAATTAATGTTTTACCTTGCACACTGTGTACCACAGACATCAAATCACAAGGCTGTGGTTTCAGCCATCTTTTCATTACGAACAGTCAAGCTAATTGTAGATAAATTTTCTACTTAAAATGTGTTTAGTCTAATAATCCATAGGCCAAGTTTGTCCCTTAAGGCAGATTTATACATTCCTGAAAGAATCCCCAAACAAACTCTCCAGTTAAATATGGGGAAAAAAAATTGATTGCAGCCACATTACAATAATCATCTCAAGGAGTCCTGCATGTCAACTCAGCTCTGTTATGTAGCTCTTGTATTAGACAGAAACTGCAGTGAAGCTGCAAAGGCAGCTTTAAAATATTACAGGATTTTTTGTGGATATAGGACTCAGGATAACCAGTACCCGCCTTCCTTATTGATGGTGGACTAATGTGGCTGCTTCACTATTTGGTAACTACAGCTATTTAAATCACAAGAACTTCTTAAACATGTAGCAAAATAAATAGTGTTCTCCTAAAGATTGGCAGAAATCCAACAGCAGGCTGCCATCAAATGGTGCTACAGCAAAGAGATTGGTGGGAGCCCAGTCCTTGTGGTACCACACAGCTCCTAAAGAATGTCAACACTGTCACTGAACCAGGACAACAGCCACGCATTTTCTTACCAAACACATGAAAAAGCTGCTAATAATATCAAAATTCAAAGACATAAACTACAAAGATGAACTAAGATGACCTTATTGGTCACCCAAATGTCCAGGTTTTTCTCCAATATTCCAATATTGACAGTTCCTTCTCTGCAGCTACAAAGATTAAAAACAAGAATGGCACAAAACCTGTATGATTATTTGTGCAATAAAACAACTCATACAGACTGTTCTAAACAGCAGTCACCACACTCCCAAGAAAGCAAGCAAATCAAAGTGTCTTAAATATAATGTTCATGGATTCCTTTAAGTTCTGGCTCTGTAAATTCACCATAAAAATACATGACTTGGAAAACATGATGATTAAGAGTCTTCCATAAAGTATTCTGGTGGCAAAATTATAGAGCACACACTATTCTACATATGTACTGATGGACATTTTTCAATTTATTTCCTAGTAGTTTCAGTCAAACACAGAAACTCTCAAATATTAACGTATCTTCTATCAGGTTTTAAACGAGAAATAGAGTATAAAGGAAATACCTTCAGAACTTAACTCATAGATAGTAACTTAGGTCAAGTATCATGGTTTGGATACAAGTAATTTGATTAAGATAAATAAGAATCTGCACTACTTTAGAGCCTGGCTTTATTTGAAGAGTTTTTTAGGCTGAATTTGAAGTGCTTCTTTAATTTCAGACTCCTTAAAAGTTTTCACATAAATATGGTCATTGACATTGAATTTAGATGTTATCTTCAGTTTCTGTCTACTGTACTTGAATAAGAGTGTTCATACAAAAATGAAGCACATTTCCTTGAAACAGATTACTTTCAAATAATGAAAAATATTTAAAATATTTTCTGAATTTATTGTAGGCACAGATTGAGACATTATTTATGATAACAACTTCTTTAACCTATTTAAACCATATAAAGGAAATTCTGAATAGGGGAGACTTATGACTCTGTGAATAATTTAACAGCAAACATTGTGATGTATTATTTATGTAGCACCACTGATGCACAAAAGAATGCTCACACATAATAATGGGGTCCCTCCCTTGAAAGGCAGTTAAAGAACTGATGACATATTTCTCATCAAGGAGAACTTCCAATGAAATCAAATGATAAGGACTGCAGAATCATGCCATACTAGAGCCTTAACACAACTGTGTTACTCAACTGTTAAAGGTTAACAGTCTGAAACTGAAACAGTCAGAAAAGGTAAAATACATCCAAAACTGAAGAATTCTGCATGCATTTTTTGCAAAAGTAAAAAAGAGAGAGAAAGAAAAAAGATTTAACTAATAGAGGCTTTATTATAAACACATTCTGCATGCATGTTTACCTGACTTTGCTGCACTGCACAACTACACCTAATTTGCTACTCTACCCTTATACAAGGTCACTAGTTTGCTACTATTGCTAGATTCCACATTCAGGGGTAATGAACATTAAATTGTCTATTATGAACTTATACCTTAAATTTTGCAAGAATTATATTGAAGATCTTTTGGATCAATTTGCTATGGTATTTTTAAATCAGCCAAACACAAAGCAGATACAGTAAGGTATATTTATTCTTTGTGGATTTTTATTGTCTCTTCATACCCTAGAGACAGCCAAGCTCTCCTGAATTTTTCCAGACATTTTATTTTTGGATAAGTGTCCTTCATGTTTTCTGATCTGCACTAAAAATTATTTGAGGTGTCTGACTAAGCAATCCAAGAGTTCAGTATTCTTTAAAAAAAAGAGAGCACAAACCCAACATCAGTCTGTTTGGTTTATTATCATTGGTCTAAAAGGCAGGACGAGGACATATGCAAGACAAAAACATGAAATAGTCTATGCTTAATGAATATTACAGAAAGCATTCTCTGGCCTTATGGAAGACAATGCTATTGTGTTCAAGTTCTGAATATTAGTTACTAGATTTCTAGTAAGTCTTCACCTTAAGAAAATATGTTCAAGAAATTGCATATTCAGAGCACTCAAATTACCAGAATCCCCTCTGGTTTGGACAAGGCCTCAGAAAACAGACAGACACACTAGAACTTCCATGAAATTCCTGAACATTGTTATCTGAGCTGGATCTTCTATGGACAACTTTTCCTTTTTTTTTTTTTCTTTTTCCCTCATGTTTCCTTCAGTTTAAGAATCTCTGCCTTAATCAATGTGGTCCCAATCCTAGTTCTGCACAGGACATCTTAGATCTGGATCTGTTTTTATACCAAAGTAAGTTCTCCCATTCTGGCATATCAACATTTGATCTGCACTCCCAGAACCAAGTTGCCCTCTTCTATCTGGTAGCACTGGGCTGGAATAAATTTATTATATTTCCACTCTCTTTTTGCATTGTTAAGATAAAAACCAAACAAATTTATTTTGGGAACAAAACTGCCCAATTAATGATATGAAGCGTAAAAACACAGGTGTATGAAAATCTTCAAAACTTGCACTACAAATAGATTAGAGATGCAAATTGGTAGAAACAAACACAATTATTATCTAAAAATATGAGAGTTGTTGCTGTTATCATATACCTGAATCAATGTAATAAAAATGAAGACTGGTGTGAGGGCGTAACTGACCACCACCCTGACCCACCTTCTGGAAGTTAAGGAGAAAATTCTTCTGACTCAGGTTGAATCACGGCTGTAGCTGTTGGGGTTTTTTTAAAACACATTATCAGTTCAGTGTAATGGCTAACAACTGAGTAAAACTACTTCTACAAATGCTCCTATGGAAATATGAAAGTTTTAAAGTGTGATTTCCAAATGTAACAACAGGAAGTAAAGGCCTGAGAGGGAGCCTGCATAAAGTCTCAACAGTAAAAAGCACTGTTATAGATACCTACACTGTAGTGTTTGCTTTTCAAAGTGCACACGTGTGATAGATTTTTCAAGTCTGCAGTGCTGTGCACACATGTATCAAGAAACTAGAAGAAACCTTGAAATTAAAAAAGAAAAACATGTGCAAACAAACTACAGATGTGAAACTTTGTTGTAACATGAAAACACTAAACTTTTTCACATACTACTTTTATAACCCTTTAACATGTAGAGTTTTACTAAGGAAGTCCAATGATTTTAACTATTAGAAAACTTGCCTGATAGCTACTGTCTTCTCAAATCTGAACTATTGTTTAACCCCAACTACTGTGGAATCTCATAATAAGGACTTCAAAGGCAAGCAAGTTATCATGACTGCTATAAATAAATACAAGAACAAGGGGAAAGAACAATCTTTCTGCCTACAGGTACTGTTATTGCCACTGATGAACAAAAAAAGAGTATGGACTTGCTACAGTGAAGCAATTGTTAGGGATATAAACCATTGTTTTTAATAAATGTGAATTACACCTTTCCTTGTGTGCTCTGGCATACCAGCAGCCTTGCTCACTTTTCTGAGACCACTGCTAATAAAAGATTGAACACAGCTGTATGGACATGGGTCTGTGGCCTGGAATCTGGAGCTGCTGGTCAGCTGAAAGGGGAGGCTCTCATTTTGTTTCTCAAGCTCATGAACTTTTTCTTGTCAATGTACAATCTTTTCTTCCAGCTCCAGGCCTGACCCAGCCACTTGGGGCCGCCACAAACCTGTTCAGACTTTTTTTTTTTTCATTAACAAGCTGTATTAACTTGGTGGTCATTCTGGGGAAAATAATAAAAAAGATGAAAAAGAATGTGAAAAGTCAGCATAAAAAGCATTCTGCTGAAAGGAACATAATCACTGTGAAGACTTCAGCATAGAACCTGAATAATAAATTTCAGGTTTTGATATAACTATTACTGCCTGTGAAGAACTCTTTGAAGATAATTGAAACCACTGTGCAGCAATCTGCTTTATAGCACTGACAAATAACAGTTTCCTAAGGCTTATCATTTAAGGTTAGTAAAGGGAGGACACATATTTACTCCATATGGTGCTTAAATGTAATTTTTAACGCATGACCTTATATAGGAACCTCTGCATGCTGTTAAGTAAAGTTACAGATTTGGGATGTGGTGGGGCATACTATAAAAGCTACAATTCCACAGAACATCCAGCTATTGAAAGAATGCTAATAATATGCAACATTCCAATTATATACAATTTCTAGTATTTTGGGATTTAAATATATATTTCATATCTAAAGTAGCTAAAATATATAGATGGAGATACACTGGAAAAACAGACTTAACAGTTCTCATTACCATACTCAATTTTACACTTGGCAAATATTTCCAGTGTGCTTTGGAGAAGGAACGGTTAGCTGCAAAATATAATTAGATACAGAGGGTATGGTTGTCATCTGTCTTTAGAAGGATACAAATTTTGCTTTTGGTATCTCAAGTGTTGTACCTTTGATTTCCCTTGGTTCTGATAAACATTGGTAAGCTAGAACAAAAGGCAGTGAGGGCACATGGGGGTGATGTAACATGCATGAACAGAAAGCATACCCAGAAGTGAATGCAAAAAACTTGGCATATAAAGAAAGAAAAGGTGGCTTTGATGAGACAGTCTAGTTCAGGACTTTACAAAGTCAGTTGCACATCTTTGAGACCTGTATCTAGTTTACAGGAAATCTATTTTTGAAGGCCCAGAAAGAAAACAGAAAATAAGGACATGCTTCATTTGTTTAAAGGGGCATGTTTTATTTTTTGTGTACTTGTGGACAGAAGCTTCTACTTAAAAGAACAAAAGTGGAACAAAAAAAATCCCTAATAACTTCAGGATGTCACAGAATGTTACTTGCCTATAAGCAGGTTTTTTATTTACATGGAGTTTTTTCAATGTTCTTCTACTGCAAATTCATTCCAAACTTCTAGTTAAGATGGTTTTGGCAAGGAATGCTGGAAAAGAAATTCACATTGAGGAGTTAAGTTTTTTCTCTAGCAAACACTACACTTTTTATTTTCTGTGCCATAAAGTATTAATTCAGGTATTCCAATCTGAACATCCTATGTAATGCTACCTAAGTGGATGATGAGTGCATTTGGTAAGACATCTAACAGAAACACAGGAAATGCCCTTTGGAATAAGCAAACAATTAATCTCTTCCACCATCTTGAATTCGACAACAGCCTGACAGAAAAGATGGAAGTTATGTCATGCTGGTCAATTTGTTCCCGCTTCACTGAGTACTGAGTCAAAGAGAAGAATGCTTTGGACTTTAAAAAATTATGAAATAGTCCCATCTACAGAAGCAGTATTTTCAGCTGCCCTTTTACGAATCTTTTATCTTCTGACAACACCTTAATGACTTAATAAAGTACAGCACAATGTGAGCACAGAGCCACGGTGCTTTTGGATTAATTAGCCCTCCTGCAATGCAGTAATACCATGAACACTTCTGCCGAGCCCACACTGGTTTGCCAAAACAGCGCTAAGTTTAATAATAGGGGTGGAATCTCACTGTATACACTGTTTTGATTATAGAATGAAATTTCTGATGAATAATTAGGCTTCTACACCCTCTTCTTCTACAGTTCCCAGAACACTCTAACAGCATAGTTCTGAACACAAGGTACCAGCTCCAAAGTGACAGACAGCACTGTAGTTCTGTACATGGAAATCTAATACAGTCCACCACAAAGACATACGTATACAGACATAACCTGAAATTAAAAGTAATTAATTCCAAAGAATGATTTTTGCTACTGCTTTAAAAAGTGCTCTGAGAGAAATCAGCATTTTCAAATTGTTAATGTTTTAAACGACAAAAATATTACTGTATGCTAAAATAAAAGTATTAACCCCAATACCTTTTAGTTTTCTCTTCTTGCTCATTTGCATGCTGCTTGACTAAGATGTGATCATCATGTGCATGAAGAAACTTGTCCTTCAGTTCTTCTTGACTGATTTGTTACCTAGCTTGTTGAGCTTTTATATTCTGTGCAGATAATTCTACCCAAACCAAGACAACTTTAAATTACCTTCAATACATTCAACAACATGTAGCCAAGTCAAAACTCATTTTGAAATACTGAATTCCCCCAACTTTACAATCAGTTTTATATTTTACACTTTTACAAGTCTGTTAATTTTTTTATTTATAGTAATTTTAATCACTTCCTTTTCCCTTCCCCTTAGAGATTAAAAAAAAAGCAATTAAAATTATACAGCAACCTGTTTTCATACTAGACAACACAAAGGTAGCAGTTTACCAAGTAACCAGGTTCTGCCAAAGATACTATCTCAAAATAAGCATTACCTAAGGGTTCTTTCTAATATGTTCCAAAGTTAACATAATTATCTTGAAGCTTGAAAATATTAACTCATAATTCTTAAATTTACTCAGATACAAGACTAAGCCCAGTTGTTCCATTCTAATAGCAGCTGAGTAACACAGCAGAATTGCATAATAATTTGGTGCCCATTTTGTGAAATGGATCTGGCCTTGTCCTCAATTCAGCAAAAAAAAAATCCTCTTTTCTTCTGGAAGTATGAATGTTACAGCTCAGTGACATTTTCAGTTTTTAGCATCTCACAGCAATTCCCCTCTTATAACAAGCAACTTGAACATTGAATGGGTCACAGCATCTTTCACAATTTAACCCAGATTTTGAATGGTATTTGAACTTAATTTTGTGAGTGGCAACATCAGAAACACTTTTAGAAAGAAACTAAAGAAGCCACTGATCAAAGTCTGTAGCTGTAATAAATAGCAGCTGGTACAAACCTTGTAATCCTTCAATTCCAGCTGGAGTTAGACCTGTATGTCTCACAGGCAGGTCCCCCACAGTTACATCAGCTGCAACAGGCATGGCTTATCTAGGGATAACAAAATTCAAATGAAATTCCTCTTCATCTGTTATTTAAACTAAGACTAGAACGAACAACACACCATATGAAATAAAGGAAAAAGTTATAGCAGATTCACTGAAATGACAGACTTCTGAATACTCCTATCTCAGCTAGATTTCTCAGAGAACAATCTAAACTCTGAAGTTCTCAAGTTTAATTTTATGCCAGTATTAATCCCTTCAAAAGATACACCTTTGTTGTGCAATAGCTTCAGTTCTATTTAATATATGTACAGTTAGCTTTCTGAAGTTCTAGCTCTGCTGTTTTCAGGAATCTTTGGGCTAAGGCCCTATTTCCAAGTGGATGTGGGAAGGGGACCCACAGGTTTTTTGTTTAATTGTTTTGTTGGGTTTTTTTTTAATTGTTTGTTAATTTTAAGAGAGGTAAAAGCTTAAGGCATTGAATGATAGATGAGCAATGTCATCTTCCATATTTTGAATGGAACTCATTAAAACAGGTGCTGGAGGTTATGAAGTCATTCCAGTGTTGCCTGCATTCTCTTAGTCTTCTTTCAATCACTGTCATAAAAGAAATTACTTTTTAAGACAGAAGGTCTCCTATGAATGATTCTTATAAATCTGAACATGATTCTATCTTGCGGCAACAGAAAGCTTAGCTACATGACAAAGTGAGATTAGGAAAGTACTAATATGAAAAAGCACTACATTTGTTTTGGTGTAATATATGAACATACTTTTTAACAACTGCTGTTTCCTTCTTGTCTTCTGGTGCAGAAAATTACATGTTGGTCACAGAGTCAAGTAAGGCTGAAACAACAGGAAAAGGAGAGATGTGAAGTCTTTCGACAGTCTTACCCCCAAAACAATTGTTACACTCTTCAGGTGATATAAATCCTTAGTCAATCCAAAACCATCTAGGAAAGCACTGGGAAATTAATAGTGATGCTACAAGAGACTTGCATCAGAGGCCATAAGCAACATGGTACAATCAGATATCCCATGCAATATCTGTTAATTCAATCATAATCAAAAGTGCTGCCTAAGCTTTTTCTTCCATCATAAATAACTCCCCTTATGGCTTTGTTCTAAAGAAACAAAAGGGATTAATGGAAATTTAGTTTCCAACAAGTCACTCTTGCTTTTAATCTTTTGGTTTTTTCATCACTAAAATTTATGATAAAATATTATTTCCAGACTTCACTGTTTATGAATAAACAGGAACACATTTTTCTTCCATGTGGAACAAATGTTTCCTTATCATGACCACAGAAGTGAACTGAACTACAGTTGTAGACTTTCAATATGGTTGTAGTTTCAATGCTGTCAGTGACAGAGAATACAACTCTGTGACGCTGATGTCCACACCACTCAGCCAATGGCACAACTGGCAACCAATGTAATCACATATCCATTGGGATCCAGCTCCTCAGCACCCTCGACTCTTTTTGCATTGCTCTTACAAAATCCTCCACACTTTGTAATTTGTTAAACTAGCTCTATCTGAAGTCATTGGCTTCACTCAGGTCTAGGTTCATTATTATGGTTACTATTATATGGCCCTGTACCAGTATAGCTACAGCAACTGAGATCAAAGGGAAACAGACATTTTACCTCCAGAGGATTAGCTAAATTTGGTTCGTGGTGGTAGCAAGGAGAAGATGTTACCTTTCTAGAATGTAGATGTCCTTCCTTTCACAAACCAAAAATGACAGAGAATTTTTTTGGGCATCAAGATCTAAACAAGTATTTTATCAGCATGACTCCACAATGTTTATGATCCATCACAATCAGGCTTCAAAAACTCCAGAACAGTAACAGGCACAGACAAATACTACTGGTTTTCACTATTTGCTGAAGAAACTTTAATATGGATATCTACCTGCTTATCTTCAGTATGAGAGAAATCTACTTATTTTAAAACAGAGACAAAACAACACATGCTTGTCACTCAAATAAACAAACAACTCTTGTCAGTAGTAATCCATTACTGGCTGCAGCAAAACCACAGAAATACTTGAGCTGTAAGTAAACTAACATTTCAGACATCCACACAAAGCCAATTTTTACTGGCAACATGACATGATTTAAAGTGACACAATAAAGCAACTTCAAATCTAAAGTGTCCTGAACACTTAGAAGGTGAAATTTTCAAAGGGAAGAGGAAGAACTATTTCATTTCCGTTACAAAGTGTCAAAAATTAAGCATTCAGCTATCTTTTCTGTCCTGGGCCACAGAAAAAGAAAATGAAAAAAACAAATGAAAAAAAACATATTAATTTGGTTTATCAGATACCGTGGTTTTAGACAGAAATAGTACAAACATGCCTCCTGGTTTTAGGGAGTCCAAATATAATTACAGATTTAGAATTTGGCTTGGCAACTTATTTGGCTGATTAGTAACATACCCATGTCTTTAATAATAACTAATAACCACCAGTTACGCTGCTGCTTTGAGAAAGGACACTTCAAACATCAAAGCATGTGTTACATATGTTACAGTTCCTCTTTGAATATTATCTGAGTGTCAATCACAAACACTTAAACAAAATTACTTTTCCTTGCAGTCCAGTTCCAGCGTTATTTCCAAAAGCATATGAGATTTCTCCACAGCATTCTGTATTACTTTTGAAAGCATTTCCAAAGCAATTACATCTGACAAAAGTGTACAGCAACATTGCTACAGAAGTTATGGTACTTAAAAGTACAGCATCTCCTAGAAGAAAGCTTAACAAAGTGAGAGAGATATAAATTTGTATTTGCGTCTGGATAGATCCACGTGCCATCCTCAACCTCAAAACTTAAAGCAAGCTTTATTTCCAAGAAAGGATACCCTACAATACTTCAGCACAGATTCTTTCTCAAAACTAGAGAACTCAATGTACAAAGAGAGGAATATTCCCCATATCTCTGGGCTTAACCTGTAAGGACTTCAAGTTAGGTATAAGCAAGAATTTTCAATATAACTACTAAAGTTAAAGAAACTCTAAGTCTCTTACACACTTCACTACTTACAAAAGTGGTTCTATCACCACCTGTATATGAAAATTTACTACAAAAAACTGCACACAACTTTGCACTGTTATACAAGTCTGACACTAATAAAATTAATACTTATCAAAGCTCATGCTTTAAGTTCGGATTCTCATGTAACTCACAGAAGTGTACTTTTGTATCAACATCCTTCAAAGGTAGCAAAACTGAGTGGGGATTACTTAAATTTTTGACAGTTCTCAGCCAACTGGGCTATAAGTAACTTCCAGAGAGGGGGTTTCTAATGAGATCATAGGAATTACAACTTAATTGTTTCAACATGGTTTTTTAACTTGAATGCCAGACATGGCCAAGATGATCCTTTTGTTACAAAATCCTACTTCCCCAGTAGAGGGAATTTAAAAAAAGAGGTGGGAGGGACCACCAAGCTACATTAGCTTATCATAATGTATTTCCAGCCTATGTTCTCCCTCTACTGAGTCCTTAAAATATACATGTGTGCACTTTATTGGTCTTGTAACCAAAATAATCTCATTTATAACCTGGTAGAAGTACACACACATATCATCTTTCAAATGTCATGTGTTGCAGAGCTGTGTGTTTTGGGAGGCAGACAGGGAAAAAAAAGAGACGATATGGAAGATGTTAGGAAATGCGACCACAACATCCTCCTGTTGCTTGAGGGAAGAAACATCTCTCAGACCTGTAAGTCCTACTTCGACACAGAAAAATCCAATCAACCGTGTCTTGCCTTCAACACACTTTCCAAGGCGTCCCACGTTTGATTCGGCCGCGCAGTTCGGGCGGAGGCTGGCAGGCTGAAGGGGCAGGCTCGCCTCACGCAGGAACGCCTCCACCGCCCGGGCTGTCCCGCCCCGGGCACGGGAGCTCCGCTCCGCTCCAGCCTTGCCCGCTACACAGCACAGGCCTACAGGGCTCCTTTGAACCAAACGCGGAGGCTCCCGGCCTCCTCCCGCGGCCACCGAGCGAGGTGCGGAGCCTCCCGGCTCTGGAGCCGCCGCCCGCAGCGCGGCTCCCGCCAGCCCCGCTGCTCGCCGGCCCGGCCGGGGACCGCCCGCTCCAGGACACGGCGCCCCGGGCGGCTCCAGAGCCCCGGGCGGCTCCGGCGCCCCGGTCCTCCCGCGCCGTGCCCAGAGGAGGAGAAACTCCCCGGTACTCACAGCCCCGCCAGAGCTCCGTTAGCGGCTGCCGCTGTTGCCAAGCGGGCGCTTCCCCTTCCGGGCCGCCCTGGGCCTGCCGGGACTCGGAGTTCGGGGCGGGGCCGCGCACTGCCCCGGAGCCGCGGTGCGGCCGCTGCCGGCGGAGCTCCCGCGGTGCTGCTCCGCTCCGGGCGGACGGCTAAGGCGGCACCATGAAGAGGAGAGCAGGGGAGCGGGAGAAAGAACTGAAGGTACCTTCCGTTTGCTTCCTGCTCCCCGCAGCCCCGAGGAGAGTGTGCGCCCGTGGCCAGCCCGGCTCGTGGGGCTGTGCGGGGCTCCGCTGGCGCCAGTGCTGGAGCCCCGAGCCGCCGTGGAGCTCGCTGTGAGAAGGAAGAAGCCCCGGCCCCGAGCTCGGCGCCGCGGTCACGGAGCCGGGGCTGAGCTCCGCGTGTGCCCAGCGCCGCCCCGCGCCCCCCGGGGCTGCCCGGGCCGGGGCTCCGCTTAACCGGGAGTGCCCGACCCCCCGCCCCTGAATGAGGGGCGCCTCCTGCAGCGGTAACAGGAGCTAGTGCTACAGCGTGTGCCATCTGGGCAAGATATTTCAATTTAAAAGAGAGTTCTGTGGTGTGTGGAAAAAATGATGCCAGGACTGTGTGTTTGTTTTTGTCGAAACATTCACAGTGAGGTGATGCACTGTGTAACTGCGCCTAATTCTTAAATTTATAAGTACTCTACACTAAGCCTGACCTAAATAAATATTTTTAAGTCTCTTATACCACCCGAGCTTTATAATGTTTCTTTTCTTGTTCACGTGTTTAGATGCAATGCTGTTACATACTTACATTGGAAATATTATTTCACTCTCTGTGGAAGCAAACGGGAGTGCTGAATGTTTGCTATTTCAGGTGCCTTTGAAAGGCTTGTTTTACTACATTGGACAATATTTTACTTCAGCCCTTGATGGTTGTTGTACTTCTGCTGATTTTGCTTACAAAACAGTAGTACTGAGAAGCAGTAAGTGACTTGTTTGAAAGCACGATACTGATATTAGAGGTGTTAGTGAAAGGAAAGCTAATTCCATTATAAATTTAAAAAATGCCTTTGAAAGTGCTAATCTCACATACCTGAGCAGGGAACATGCTGGCTTTGGTATTGCTGTTATTTCCTATTCAGTATAAAATACAGTATTCCCTGCAAAGACAGGGAAAAGGTCTGAAATAAGTTTGCAGCTAAGTATTAGAAAACTTTAGGGCCTCTTTGCCATGGTACATTTCATAACAACTCCTTAAGGACTATCTGGCCATTTTGTAATTTGTCTTTCTGCTATCCCAAGTTGCGGAGGGACAGCAATTTCAGTGTTACATTTGTGTTCTGCCCCTTCCATGTATGTCAAAACATATGCAGATGTCCCATCCAAAACCTTGTAGAAAAAAACTCAACCCATACTTTTTTAGCCTGTACATTTGTGCTGTCCGTCCAAGGGCCTTTGTCCTGAATGTATTTGGGAATCATTTGCATTAGGAGAATAATAGCCCTTGATAAGATAATCAATCGAGGATACCTGTGACGAGTAAAAGGATGGTGCTGTGAACTACATTGGCAAAAGCTATATAGGAGGAAAGGCACTTGAAGAGGTGTCAACAATAATGCATGAGAAATACTTAAGGTCAAGTGCAAGAGTACTGCTATAGACACAACTCGATTTTGGTGTGCAGATAGAGAAGGATGAAAGACAAAATTCTTACAGAGAGTTTAAAGGTGTCAATGCTTATAGAATGCCATAGAGGGATGCTGTAAACTGGGTACTGCTTGAGAGAAGCTGAGTATATTGAAAGTGAAGCAAAATGAGCCTGTAGAATGTCTTAGAATAAAGGCTGCCAAAGGAGAAAGCAGCAATGGGAAAAAGAGGGTATATGCTAGAAGGAACATAAGTGGTTTTTTTTCCCCATGGAAGCATCCTCATACTGATTATTTTCTACAACTTAATTGGAGATGTAATCTCTGGGCTCCTGGCAGTGTCCCAAGTCACCCTTGAGTCCTTGGGTTTAGCCATTCCTAGCTTATGTTGATCACCTGAGAAATGCTGAAGACAAAGGAACAGTGTCTTTATTGTAGTAGTTCTGCCAAGACTTCCATTTAGGTACTGATTAAAATACTTTTTAGCAAACCAAATATTAGTGAGGTTAACCCAACTTCTTCTTGAGAGTAAGATTTATGAGGCCTACTACTGAGAGGGAAGTGGTTGGGTAAAAAAGCTGGTTTGGATTATGTGTCTTCTGGCAAAGTCTCTTGTTTTCAAGAATTAAATCCTGAATAAAAGTTCGTGTTTTGCCATAATTGTGTACAGTTAAATGCTGTCTATCAGAATCCCACTGATGGCTTTTGCTTTTTAATTATGTAGCATGTTTCTTATATGTGATAAACTTTTCTCTGGCTCAAATTTTCTTGCATATAGCATGTTTTGATTTATGCTGTTATAGAAGAACATTTCTGTTCCAAGTACATGTGGTAGAAGTTCTGTAGAGTGTAGTGCTGTCATACAGCAATTTCCACTTTGCAGATCACTCAGTTGGGTTGAGTAAGATTAAATGTGTAGCAGAAATGAAATTCTTTGTGCTAGTGATTGGTGTTCCAAGACAAGAGGAGGATGCAAATTCATTCTTGGGAAAAGAGTCTGAAAGAAAAGTAGGAAAAACATAGCCAGAAATTAACTGTCTGTTTTAAACACCATATGGGGCATTGCTAATGTCCTGTAGACTATTTCTCTTGAGGCTTAACTGCACAGCAAAACACAACTACTCTGAGGTTTCTGAAGATACCTTTGGAGCTGTTGCAAGCCAATATTACTTCTGTGCATAAAACCAGAACTGTTAGAGTAGATGTTGTTCATTAGCTGAAAAGGCATTTTAATGAAACAGTCTATTGCAGGGTTGTCCATGCTTGCTTGTTTTAGTTTAGAATTTCAATTAATACAGTTTATAGTTATTTTGATTTTTTTTTCTTTACACTGTTGGTCAGAGTTGGTCACTTCTTTTTCACTGGGTGAGAAATGTACCATGCAAAGTAAAACCAAACAAACTTCCAATTTGGTGATCTAAGTAGGCTATTTGCTCCTTTTAGATTTGGGAAGAAAGCTTTCTGATTTTAGAATGCTTATTATCTTGATTGATGAGTTTAAAAAGTTGATATTTAATATAAGACTTAATGTTCTTGAGACTTATTTATTCAAAGTGGATTTTTAAAGTAAGTTTCAGTATGAGTGGCCAACTTCTAGTTATTTCCTGTGTATGCTTCCTCTACCACTCTTTGCATGTTAACACCCTGTGCCCTTACCAGGTGAAAGAGAAGATACTCAGCTAGTGTGGAGTATTATTTTCTTTTAAAGTAAAGGTATTACCTTGATGGGTCTTTGAAATAGACCACTAAAGCCAGTTCACAATTACCTTATGTAGCTATTTATGCTAATTCACATTACTGTGAATACTGACTGCAGAGAATGTATTCCACAGACACTACTGTTATGTTTGTACAGCTCCCAGCACAGCTGGGACCCCAGTTCAATAAATTTATTGCTGTACAAATAATAAATGCATCAATGTGCACATATCTGAATATTCACAAGGGCTTTTACAAAGACATTCATATGCAGTATCACATTTGTGAGACATGTTGGACAAAGTGGCAAGGAAATATAAAGCTTTAAATAACACAAAGCTTTGTATGTATTTTATTTACAAGGAGAAAACAGGAATATACTGAGTTTTGGCTGAGACATCATTGAAGGTCTTATTTCCTCCATCATCCTTATCTTTGCTACCTGCAAAATAATACATCTTTACAAGGTAAAACAGGTTGCTTCAGCATACTAATGCTCAAGGAAAATTAGACAAGTATTCTCAAAGCATGATTAAGGATTTGGTTTTAGAATTAATGCTGAAAGATGGTGCCTGTACCATACAATGAAGTTCAAAAACTTTAACGTTACCATGGTTTGTTCTAATATGACAATGATTTATTGGTTCCAGTTATTGTTCTACCTCTTAAGATAAAAAAACATTATTAAAAAGAGTGAAACAAAACAAAATTTTCTAATTGACAGATTAGATTATTTTAGAAATTGTATTTAGGAAAATTAATGAAACAGCTTAGATGCAGTTAAATAAGCTTCTTGTCATGTCATATTTCTGCTTAGGTAAATGGTGTGCAGGTTTTAGCAGAATCAGCAACCAATATGCCAGTAGCAATTTTTGTGGTAATCACATTATTGGACCTTCCCATTATTAATGGGACAATAATTAAGAAATAGTGTTGATAGTCACATCACACATGATTTGTATATTGGAAATGGCCGGGCAGAAGCCTTGCATATGCAGAATAAAATACAAGAAAGAATAAGTGGCAAATGTTTCTTGCTTTTAAATTCATCACGTTCCTGCTGTTTGAATTGCCTCAGCTGCTAATGCTGGAACCATTACAGTAATGGACTCGGCAAATGAAGGAGAACCGAGACACACACTTTATTACTGGAGGGGTAATTTTCTCTTCATCTGTAATAGCAGCAGTGCCTAGTATTGATCAGACCATCAAGATACTAATCCTCTGTAAAATTACTTGTTATAACTGAAAATGTGTTAATCCAAATCAGTCTGTGTCCTGACTTTCTACTTACTATTGAATACAGACTATTAGATGAGGTTTTTTTGTGATTTAAAGCCTTTACATCGATAATAGTCAGAGCTTCCTTTGCAAGAGAATGTGCTTAATCTTAGCTATGGCCCAGGGTTGTCTTTTTGTTTTAACTAGAACATCACCCACTTAATTAAGAAGTGCATGTCTATCTTTCTGCTCGGAATTATATTGGTACTTTAGACTCTGCAGATTTACTGAATGTTGTTTTACATTCAGTCACTTGTTTTTTGCTGTAAATAAGGACAGATCTATGGTTCACATATTGGAATCTACAAAGATCTTGGAGCTAAGGATGCGAGGAGAATGGCTGTTCAAAACACCAATTTGGATTTTGTGGATGGTGGCCTGGGAGGCTCTTGTGGATGAGAGTAGTGTTAGGGAAGTTCAATGATCTAAAGGTCTTCACTTTACTTCTATGCTTTGACCCACTACATGAGACAGTGGCATGGTGAGCTGTGTGTCCCAATTCTGAATATGGGAAGGCTTCTTTTATTTTTTTCCCTCTGTTTTGTCTATTTTTTCATAGTCTTCTATGTATAAAATGGAAGCCCACATCTCTAAC